TCATCTCGGGCAGGGAACTCCAGCAGAACCAGCCCTTCCCGACGCGGAGGCCGACCCCAGGTTCGCTGAAAAGGTAACCACTCAACACCGCATTCCTTGTCCGGCCCTGTTCCTAAACGTGGTCCGGAAACAATGGACCTCACCAGCCTCCCTTCCTCTTCCGGGTAACATTGATAAGAGACTATAGAATGTAGCCAAGGAACTGGAGGAGGCGTTGGAGGTACCGATGGTAGATGAGCCCTAGTATCGGACACCGCCATATCGAGAGACTTCTCAGAGGCCCTTAAGGCTGAGGACCGCAAATGCGAGTCCACCTATCTGAGAATGCACCAAGCAACAGCATGGGCTACTAGAGCTGCTACCTCTGCTTCCTTTTTCAGCAGAGCCACACTCTGCTGGCTACGTGAATTGCAAGGCTGAGTCCCTGTAGAGGACATCCGTACCCAACAGGAACTCAGCAAAATGGTAGCAGCTATGGAGTATGCGTCAGACGCAACACTCCAAGCGGCCAGATTCTCAGCCAGAGCAATAGCGTCCAACATTACGGGCAGACGCCTGCTTTGGTTAAAACACTGGCAAGCGGATGCCAAATCCAAATGGAAACTGGCATCTGCCCCGTACCAGGGAGCCAAATTATTTGGCCAGGCACTAACGCCTTATCTAACGGAAAATAAGGACAAGCGCAAGGTCCTTAAACACATTCTCAAGAGACAGGAGAGACGATCAGGTTACTTCGGAAGAAAACAATCCTTTCGCGCAGAAAGCAGGTTCACCTACTCCCAACCAGCACAGCCCTTTCAGGCTAGACAGGATAGGCAGGAGAGACAAACAGAAAGGCAAAACCCAAGGCCTAGGCAGCAAGCGCAGGGAAGGCGGCCCTTTCGGGGGAACAACCATCCTTTTTGTCGCTCCAGATGACTCCACCTCAGCCCTTCCCATAGGGGGCAGGCTCACCCAGTTTGCCCACCAGTGGGAAGAAACCACCACGGACGTATGGGTCAGAAACATCATACGCCACGGGCTCTACCTGGAATTCCTCTCCAAACCACCAAACCGTTTCCTCCCCTGTCCTTGTCCCCGAAACCAAAAAAAGAAGAAACTCATGAACGAAGCCGTTCAACATCTACTAAGTATCCGAGCCATAGAACCGGTACCACTGCACCAGAGAGGTCAGGGATTTTACTCCATACTGTTTGTGGTTCCCAAACCATCAGGAGGATGGAGAGCTATTCTAGATCTCAAAGGCCTAAATTTCCATCTGGCATATCGCAAATTCAAGATGGAAACGTTGCGCTCCATACTAGGAAGCGTAAGAAAAGGGGACCTCCTGACGTCTATCGACCTCACGGAGGCGTACTTACATATCCCCATCTCTCTGACCCACTGCCAGTTCTTACGGTTCGCTTACGGGGGATGTCACTTCCAATACAGGGCTCTCCCATTCGGCCTATCAGCCCCCAGGGTGTTCACCAAGATACTGGCGGTCCTGGAAGCTCATCTAAGGACCATACCAGTCAGAATTCAGTGCTACCTGGATGATATATTAATCCAGTCATCGTCCACCCGCTCCGCCCAGGCGGACCTCAAACTAGTAGTGAGATTGCTACAGGATCACAGCTTCTTGGTGAACTTCCTCAAGAGCCAACTAGTTCTGTCAACGAGAATATTACATCTCGGGGCCATCATAGACACAGTGGAGTGCAAGGTATACCTCTCCCAGGAACGCCGCAATAGCATAAGGGAGGTAATAACACAGCTATGCCGACGTCAGTCGGTAACGCTGGTCAGCCTCTCTCAACTGTTAGGAAAAATAATTTCGATCATAGCAATCGTCCCATGGGCCAGACTGCATTTGCGGGAGTTACAAAGGTTCATGCTTCCGTTCCAGAGGTAGGAACTCAGTGCATCCCAAAGAACGGTAGGGTTACCATAACGGGTACGGCGTTCCCTCAGATGGTGGCTATCGCCAGCCCTATTCAGAGGCTCCCACTTCAGGGAGCCGGACAGAATAGTACTCACGACCGACGCAAGCCTGTTCGGTTGGGGAGCTCACTTCGGGACCAGGTGGCCGCAGGGTCGCTGGTCCACAGTGGACCTCCGTCACAACATAAACTGGCTCGAACTTCAAGCCATCCATCTGGCACTACAACACTTCCACAGCATGCTAACACGACGCCACGTACTAGTCCTAACAGACAACGTGACAGCCAAAGCCCACATAAATCGGCAAGGGGGAACACATTTCCGCTCCCTATGGTCCGAGGCCCTTCTACTGGGGACTTGGGCAGAACAAAACCTGGCCTCACTAAAGCCCGACCATATATCGGGAAACAAACACCCAGGCAGATCTATTGAGCAGGTCAACAGTAGATCACGCGGAATGGTGCCTCCACCCGAGGATCTTCAAGGAGATCTTCCACTGCTTCGGCCGTCCTCAGGTAGACCTATTCGCCTCCCCATCCAATGCCCAGCTGATTCGCTTCTTCTCCCGATTCCCATCCGCGGGAGCAGACGGATGTGTTACGGAGTCCATGGCCGAGGGGCCTCCTATACGCCTTTCCCCCCCTGCCTCTCCTCCCGGCCGTAATACGCAAACTTCTCCAGGAACGAGCCGAGATAATCCTGGTGGCCCCATATTGGCCCAGGAGACCTTGGTTTGCAGACTTGAGAAGCCTCTCTCGCACGAATCCCTGGCGAATTCCCCCAGAGAAAGTCTCACTCAGCCAGTGGATGATCTTCCACCCAGAGCCACAATGGCTACTACTAGCCGTTTGGCACTTGAACGGTCAATCTTAAAAAGGGGACTTTGTTCACAGGGAGTAATCAGGGTGATCCAGGCCTCCAGACGCCCTTCCACGAACTGTATTTACGAAACCACGTGGAAAAGCTTTCAGGCATGGTGCTCCGAACGGAGCCTGTCCCTCAGAGAGCTCACAATTCCCAACATTCTGGAATTACTACTAGGCAGCCTGGAGAGAGGCCTAGCAACAAACACACTGCGTAGGCAGATCGCCGCCCTCTCAACAATACTGTCGGGCAACGCGGGTGAACCCCTGGGTCAACATCCCCTACTCCGCTCCTTCCTCAAAGGGGCTGCGAACATTAGGCCACATACCGTACACAGGTACCCCTCGTGGGAGCTACCATGAGTACTGCGAGCTCTCACCAGAGCACTGTTCGAACCACTCAAAACATGTGACATCCGCTACCTAACCCACAAGATAGCATTCTTGGTAGCAATTACGTCGGGTCGTCGTATATCCGAGTTAGCCTCACTCTCAACAAGGAAAGACCTGTGTTGCTTTCACAGGGACAGGGTAGTTTTGCGACTAGACCCTTCCTTCATCCCAAAGGTCAACTCCCTTTTTCACAGGTCACAAGAAATAGTCCTACCGGATATTTGTCCAAATCCAACTCATGCCCTAGAATGACAATGGCATACATTAGACGTCCGCAGGGCGTTAAGGTACTACATTTCACGGACAGCGGAATTCCGCTGTTCAGAGGCTCTCTTTATATCCTTTCACTCCTCCTCTAGGGGCCGGAAGGTCTCTTCCTCCACCATTGGCAGGTGGATCAGGACATGCATCGCTGGGGCATACCAGGCGGAGGCTTTGCCGGTCCCCAGACATGTCACGGCTCACTCCACAAGGAGTGCTGCCACCTCGGCAGCACGGGCCACGCAAGTTTCCATTGAGGAGGTTTGCAAGGTGGCCACTTGGGCTTCGCCTTCCCCATTCATTCGCCACTACAAAATCGACAAATACTCCTCTGCAGAGGCCTCCTTCGGTAGGAGGGTTCTTCAGCAGGTTCTAAACCAAAGTTCCACAAAGGACCAGTCTATTCCCCATCCCGAGGGACAATAGGCTTTGGTATGTCCCATTGGTGGATTATCCAACTCCAGTGCTGGAGAAGGGGCGTTGTCTTACCTGAACACCTTTTCTCAGCACGGAGATGGATAATCCACACCCATCCTTGTAGACCATGATGGTTGGGGGTAAATAGTTTGAGCCAAAACGTCTTGCTGTCAGTCAATGGCTTCGCTCGTGTCAAGACTGGGGATCTCGTGGTCCAGGACGGGTGTGGCAACTTTGGCTGACTGATCTGATTGGGCAGGAATACAGTCTCAACCCATTGGTGGATTATCCATCTCCGTGCTGAGAAAAGGCATTCAGGTAAGACAACGCCCCATCTCAACATTTACTTTAGATATATTATTTACATTAGAACGATTAAAGTGAGTATACTTTATCACAGTTCAATAAATATACATGTCAGTTGCCTGTCATTTGAACTTATAAAAACAATCAACATAATTCATCTATCTTCAATTCTGATAGCAGATGTTAAATTAGATGTGTGGCTGGTGGCTTTATGTAGAGTAGATTTGTGCTTTCTTGGTCTACTTGCTGGCTTTGCAGACTTAATATCTTAACTTGAATGATGCAAGGGGGTAAAAATAAGTTTCTAGCTATGTGCTTACTAATCTGTATGAAATTCTAAAACCATGTTTCATTGACATGTCCATGAAATGACAATTTGAACTTCAAAAAGCAAACATAATAAGAGCTGCAAAACTATAAGTTTTATCTACTATAAAACTGCCACCAAGAAACTGGTTTGTGCATTCAAAATCTGGGACAGTATACCGGGATAATTTAATTTCAGCAGATCAGTATGAAATTATTTTTGCAGTATTTTTGCAGTATTTGCCAGACATGGGTGGTAAAATAGATTGCTGCCTTGCGCCTTGCATTTAGCTGTAATTTATTCTGGAGTCTTCCTACCTAACAAATTGGGAAAGATTAATGCTTCCTTAGTGAAGAGAAAAATGCTCATTATAATTTTTTTCCCAAAAAACAGAGAAAGTAACTGCAAATTTACATATTTGGGTTTGTTGGCTTTTAAAACTGTAAAGGTTTTGTAATTTTTGTTCTAAAACTGTTAGAATTTCATAGCAAATTTCACGAACGTACTGGTTATATTGATCTATCTTTTAGGTCATATGACAGATCTGATTCACACAGAAAAGGATCTGGTGATATCACTGAAAGACTATATCAAGGCAGAAGAAAACAAGTTGGACCAATTAAGACAGTATGTAATTCTTTTATTGCCAATATTTAGCACTGTTCTACCATACAAAATGAAAAAAAAACCACCTTATGTTAATTAATTCATGGCTTTTTTGAGAGAAAAACTATATCTACCATTATTTGAGGGTAAGATTCTTATTGAAAATCTTCATCTATAGTGAATAATGGCATTTCCGTAAGTCCGCCTGAGGTTTATTCCTTCATTTGTTTTCTATCTGTTAAACAAAAAAAATGTACTATTAAAATCAATTAGGTAAGTTCAGTCTCTGTCAGCTCAACTTACATCATAGTTTCCCAAAAGTTGCTTTTTCCAAAAGGCAACAGGACTTTCTTGGTTTTTTTTTTTTGAAAATGTTTCACTTCTCATCCAAGAAGCTTCTTTGGTTCATGGATTCAGTTCTTGGATGAGAAGTGAAAGGTTTTCAAAGAAAAAAAACAAAGAAAGTTCAGTTCCCTTTTTGGAAAAAGCACTTTTAGGACAACCATGACCTGGATGATTGAGAATCTTTCTACCTCATAGTGCATAAAATAGAGATTTTCATATAAGCTACCTTGAACTCATGGAGAAAAGATAGGATATATAGTATAAAATGAATATGTCTCAGAGCCAGTTTGGTCTAGAAAGGTATTTTATGCTAGAAAGCGGGAGACCATGAGCTCAAGTCTCCGCTTAGCTATGAAAATCAGCTAAATCAGGGGTCCCCAACCCCCAGGCCACAGATGATCAGTATCAGTCCACAACCTGTTGGGAACCAGGTCGCACAAGTGGCAGGCGAGTGAGCAAAGCTTCATCTGTACATGCCTGTAATCTAGGTTACACGTGCAAAACCATTCCCCGCTGCCGGTCCACAGAAGATAATTTTTCTTCTGAAGCTGGTCCCTGGAACCAGAAAGTTTGGGGACTACTGAGCTAAATGACCTTGGGCCAGTCACACACACTCAGCCCAACTCACTTCACGGGGGGGGGGGTGTTGTGGGAAAAATAGGAGGAAGCTGTGTTTGATATGTTTGCTACCTTGTATATTTGTATAAATGTTAAAGGTTGGATAATAAAATGTAAAATAAATATAAACAAGATTAATTTTATTAAGAGCAAACTGAAAAATGTATATGCATGTGTTTGTATGTGTGTAAGTGTTCACGTTATCTGTAGCATTGGCTCAGCAATTTATGAAGCTTTTATTTCCTGTACTTAGGTGGGCTGAGAGGTTGGATAAGCTGACCGATATGGCAACAAAAGACCCAGAGGGATTTTTGGGACACCCGGTGAATGCATTCAAATTGATGAAGCGACTAAACACCGAGTGGAATGAGCTTGAGAATTTGGTCTTGAAGGACATGTCTGCTGGTAGGGCTTTCAAAATCCTTTGAAGCAATCAATCGTTAAAATACACTGAGTAACCAAGGAAGTCTGGATTTCAATTCATGCCAGTTCATGGGAAGAGTCTCAAGTATGCTTAACTATAAAAATGAATTTGGTATTATATCCTCCAGACTAAGCAGTGCAACTATCTACAGTTGTGTATATTGCCCAAATTCCAGAGTAAAGGATACTTCTGGTTGGAAGTGACCAGAGGATATAACTATAAATAAATTTAAAACACACCAAGGTAGTGTTTACTAATTAGATCTGAATGGAAGCCTCTCTCTTCCCGAGTTCAGTTTTATTCTTCATAATAAAGCAAATGACAATGGTTGGTTTCTTTAGTGATGAGATTGGGGTTACAGCAAGAATAATACTGCAAATTATTGATGAATGCCATCGTCAATCATCTATTTTATTCCTTGGAATTAATCGCATTGGCTTCTTAGCATTCAGATGTTCAAGATAAAAGGAACAACTCAGTTCAGGTAGTCCTCAACTTACAACCATAATTGGGACCAGAATTTCCATACCAAGCAAGGGAGTTGTTTATCTGAGTCACGTCTGATTTTACAACTTTTTTGCCGCAGTTGTTAAGCAAATTGCCCCAGTTGTTAAGTGAAACATGCCGATTGCCAAGTGACTGAATTTTTATTACTTGACCCAGGCTTAAGTTTTTTCAGTGCTGTTGTAACTTTAAATGGTCGCTAAACAAATGATCGTAAGTTGAAGACTACCTATATTTTCTTTGCTTTTAGGCTTGCCTACAAATCTAAACTTTCTTCTAGTTGGAATGACTCCTTCCATTCCTCTGAACAAATGCCTCCTTATTGTTCTGCATTAACTGCATTGAATTTAATTTTAGAATTGAATTATAGTTTTATAAGTAATTACATTCTAATAAAGAAAGTAAAATTGATGGAAAAGAATGTTTGTAGCTCAGAGTTGAACTGTGGGGTCTTTGGTGCTCTCTGAGCTTGGTTGTTTTCTTGCAGATGTTTCATTACCAAACTAGATAACATCATCAGTGCTAGAAGGGAATGGGTTTTGCTCTCATCTTATATACTAGTGCAGTGGTAGCGAACCTATGGCACACATGCCAGAGGTGGCACTCAGAGCCCTCTTTGTGGGCATGCACACTGTCGCCCCAGCCCTGCCTCCCCCCGCAGGGCCCTCCTCCCCAGCAGCCCCCCCGGAAGAGAGTCGTGCCCGGGCATGGCCCGCGTGGAGCAGCCCAGCCAAGGGCATGGCAGCCAGGCAGCGGGGACAAGACTCCGCCCTCAAGGATTATGTAAAATACACTGTTTTCTGGGAACCATGGAAAAGTGCTTCCAATTCTTGCAGAATTGCTTCTTAAAACTGCTGAAACATCCCCACCCCCACAAAAGGATCACATTGATATGGGAGGGGGGAGCTTTTTTTGTTTTTGAAAGCTTATCAAAGAGAGATCCAACCTAGAATTAAGGAGAAATTTCCTTAATCAGTGAGAACAATTAACAGTTAATCAGTGGAATAGCTTGCCTCCAAAAGTTGTGGGTTCTCCATCACTGGAAGTTTTCAAGAAAAAACTGGACAGCCATTTCTCCAGAATAATAGAGGGGTTGGACTAGAAGACCTCCAATGTCCCTTTCAACTTTGTCATTCTGCTCTGTTCTGTCCCTGAAAGAATCAATTTTGCACATCCCTATAAATTTATAATATTCCTCTGTATTCCAGAAGTAGTGAAATAAATTGTTACTGAACTAGAGCAATATTTTTAGCCTTATTGCAGCTATGTAAAGTATACATTTGACCCGTACCCCATTTTGTGTATAAACTAGTATTGCTTCCAGTATCAAAAAGAACGATTTATAACAAGAAGGCTGCAGCCATTGCCATTATCCTCCCCCTTCTTAAAAAAATATATCTGGGATTGGATCCAAGTTTAATCATGCCTAAAGCATCCGTGAGCCATCATCAGTCTGAAAGCAGCCAAGAGGAGGAAGAGGAGGATAAATTATGGACAAGGGGGGGGAGGCAGGTGGGTGAGAGATTGGGTGGAATTGTGATCACTGCAGAGTAGTATTGACAGTACTACAAGAACCTCTTTATTATTTTTAGGGTTTATTTCCAACATGACGGTTCAACGGCTGTTTTTCCCTGATGATGAAGATCAGACTGGTGCCGGCAAAGCTCTCTTGAGACTCCAAGATACATATAATTTAGATACTGACACAATATCAAGGGGAAATCTTCCAGGTATATAAGATGCCAGCATTTTAGGGAAGCAACTTTGTTTTATTTCAGAGGGACAGTGCACATTTATATGTGATTTCTAGTGATAGGGAAGATCAAAACAGTCTTATATTTTATTCTTCCTCTCTTCTTCTAGGATGCTCTGATTTTAAATACACTTCTGTATATGTGTGCGTGTGTATCAAATTTTTCAGTACAGTAAATGTAAAAAAGTAAGAAGGGAAGAAAGCAGTAATAAAAAAAGTTAAAAGACGTACAATTATGCTTTCTGCATTAAAAAAATCAGTTTTACTTAGAAACAATAACTACAGATAACACATGGCAGTGTTTATGCCTGGGACCAAAGGGATCTCCCACGTAAACTTATTCTGTAACTAAGTAAAACTTTGGGTGTCCTAATGTGTAAAAAAATAAAATACATTTGGGTTATTATCATAGGTATCATTGGGGGGGGGTTGTTTAGTATTATTTCTGATTTTGTCCCTTGTGATTAAAAAAAAGGTTTTGTTCTGTGCATCTTTGTTTGGTTTTTTTTTAACCTTAGTCTTGTTACTATCAATAATGAAAGCTGGGAATTGTATATTATTACTCTTTTTTTCAGATCAGTGTATAAGGCAATACTTCTATGCATGGGTCATTTTAAGAGATTGAATCTCTTAAAGCTTTTTTCAAGATTTCTTATGTTTCAGCATACTTTTTGCCTTAAGGAAATACCATTTTTGGAAAAGGTCTAGGATTATTGTTTTTTGGGGGGGGGGGGGAAGATGGCTGAAACTAACAGAGGAAAGCACACACATTGAGTTATATTGGTCTCAGGATTATTGTCCCACTAGATCCATAACATTCAGGATCAAGTGCAAATGATGGCCCTATGATTTGAAACTTGCAGTGACTTTTTTCATATTTGCTTTGACAGGCTTTGCTTCCCTTTGATCTTCTGGATTTTTTTTTTAGAGGCCAGTTGTTCTTGTATGATGAAAGGCAAATCTAGCCTGTGAATTAAAAATTCAGTGTGAGAAGTCTCCCCCTCCCTTTCCCCAAAACATTAGGTGGACTCTGCCACTATTTTATTGGCAATACTACAGCTTAGGAAATAGAAAGAAAGCCATAGAACACTGTGAAGAAGTCTTCTGATAATCTAAAAACTTAACAAATTAAATATTCAGTAATAGAAGTACCACTGAATTATATTTATGAATATCATGTTAGAAAAATACAATTATTAACATAAATGTAAAACCGTATGTAATATAATATCTGAAGATACAGGTCATCCTCGACTTAGAGCCGGTTCACTTAGTGACCATTCAAAGTTACGACGACAGTGAAAAAAGTAACTTATAACTGTTTTTCACACTTATGACCGTTCCAATATCCATGTAGTCACGTGATCAGAAACTTAACAACTGACTCATTTATGACGGTTGCAGTGTCCCAGGGTCATGTGGTCACTTTTTGTGACCTGACAAATTCAATTGGGAAGCCAGATTCACAACTGCAGTGATTCACTTAATGACTGTGGCACGAAAGGTCACAAAATGGGGCAAAATTCACTTAACAAATGTTTCACTTTGCAGCAAAAATGTTGGGATCAACTGTGATCATAAAGTAATGGACATCTTATATCCAGCTTATTGCAATCATTTCAAAACGAAAACAAATCAGTAGAGAATATGGTTAAATAACTCTAGCAGTTTATCTAGTTTTATCAATGAGGAAGTAAGAATTAAACGGTATGGCTGCAGACAACGAAACATGAATGCAAAATCGCATGATTTCAAGAGCTTTGTAACAGCTGTTGCTGGTTCTTATTCCCACTAGGAGTGAAAGATAAAGTATTTCTAACTGCTGAAGACTGCTTTGTGTTGGGAAAGATTGCATATACTGAAGCAGACTACTACCATACTGAGTTGTGGATGGAGCAAGCTCTGAAACAGTTGGAAGAGGGAGAGGTTTCTTCTTCGATCAACAAAGTTTCTGTTCTAGATTACTTGAGTTATGCTGTGTACCAGCAGGGGGATTTGGACAAAGCAATGATGCTCACCAAACGGTTACTTCAATTGGGTAGGATAATCTTTTTTTGTATTCAGCATGTTTGCACTGCTTAACTTTTGTCCCCACAGACATTTTCCACTTGGATGTACAGGCTTTTCAAGCTAATTAATGCAGTGAACTGAAGGACAAAATGCTGCTGGGAATCCCTGTAACTACAAATGTGTTTAGGAAGCATTAATTTTTTCCCCATCGCTTTACATGCCATTTGCTTCTGTGACTGGGGTATTTATATATGAAAATAGAGATACATTCCAGCGGACATAGGTGGATTAGATGCTGACATATACAGATTTCATTAGATCTTAACTCAATGACCACTAAGCTCAAACAAAAGGACAAAATCCCTTAAAAATAGCTTTCTTCCATGGAGTTAACCAGACCTCTACCTGGTTTTCCAACAGATCCTGAGCACCAGAGAGCAAATGGAAATTTGAAATACTTCGAATACATCATGGTTAAAGAAAAAGAAAAAGAAGCCAACAAGTCTGTGACTGACACAGATGAGCAGCCTGGAAAAAAAGTGAAGACTCAGAAAAGAGGGCCTTCCAAAGATTATCTGCCTGAGAGACAGAAGTATGAAAAACTGTGCCGTGGTGAAGGTCTGAAAATGGTAAGTTCTCCCTTGTGTGTCAATGGAGATTCTCAGTAATCCAGGTCATGGTTATCCCAAAAGTGCTTTTTCAAAAGGACCTTTCAGCAACTCTAAGAAAGTTCTACACCCATTTGCACTATTCAGATGACCCTCTAAGTCATTGGTTCTCAACCTTCCTAATGCCGCAACCCTTTAATACAGTTCCTCATGTTGTGGTGACCCCCAACCCCCCATCCAGCTGGCCGGGGGGGGGGGAATCAAAAACTTGACCAAAAAAAATGGGAAAGTATAGGTAGTCCTTGACTTACAACAATTCGCTTAGTGACTGTTTGAAGTTAAAACAGCACTGAAAAAGCAAATTATGATAATTTTTCACACTTATGTTTTTTTTCTTTTCTTTTTTCTTCTTCTTCTTCTTGTTTCTTTTCTTTTTCTCTTTCTGTTTTTTAAATATTGGTGTTAAAAAGTATTTTATGATTTGTTTAATTATTGTAACCAAATTTGTATATGGTCTATTTGTGTTTAAAATTTTTTCTTTTAAATTTTAATTAAGCCTGTATTCAGCTCTGGGAAGGTTGGGGGAGGGTTGGGGTGGGTTGGGAGGGTTGGGGTGGGTTGGGAGGGTTTGGGGAAGGGAACTTTTTTGTAAAATTTTAAAAAATTTTCAATAAAAAAAAAAAGAAATTTCCCAGCTAGCAAAATCTATGCTAACTGGATTCTGAAGACACAATTTTTCACACTTATGATTGTTGCAGCATCCCCAGGGTCATGTGATTTACATTCGGATGCTTGACAACTGATTCATACTTATGACGTTCACAGTGTCCCAGAGTCACATGATCAGTGGCCAGGGGGCGTGGCCAGCTGATCAGGTTGCAGTGCCTGTGGGGGGGGGAAAATCTGTGGGTCTTTGGGATGAGACTGGGGTGGGTGCCTGCCTTCCTTCCCTCCCTTCTCTCCCCTTGTCCCTTCCTACTTCCTTTCCTTCACCTCCCTCTTAGTCTCTTCCTCCTTCCCTCCCTCTCCCCTTGTCCCTTCCTTCCTTCTTTTCTTCCTTTCCTTCACCTCCCTTAGTCTCTTCCTCCTTCCTCCCTCTCCCATTGTCCCTTCCTTCTTTCCTTCCTTTCCTTCACCTCCTTCTTAGTCTCTTCCTCCTTCCCTCCCTCTCTCCCATTCCTTCTTAGTCTCTTCCTCCTTCCCTCCCTCTTTCCCATTGTCCCTTCCTTCCTTCCCACCTCCCTTAGTCTCTTCCTCCTTCCCTCCCTCTTTCCCATTGTCCCTTCCTTCTTTCCTTTCCTTCACCTCCTTCTTAGTCTCTTCCTCCTTCCCTCCCTCTCTCCCATTGTCCCTTCCTTCTTTCCTTCCTTTCCTTCACCTCCCTTAGTCTCTTCCTCCTTCCCTTCCTCTTTCCCATTGTCCCTTCCTTCTTTCCTTCCTTTCCTTCCCCTCCCTCTTTGTCCCTTCCTTCCTTCCCTCCCTTCCATTGTTCCTTCCTTCCCTCGCTCATTGTCCCTTACTTCCCTCCCTCTTTGTCCCTTCCTTCCTCCCCCCCTCCGTGCCCAGGAAGGGACAAGGGGAGGGGGACAGGTTGCCAGAGGCAGAGGAGAGTTCCACCCAGCTCACTTGCTCAGCTTTGCCAGAAAACATGCCGCTTGCTAAGTTAGCAGAAGCCCCAGGATCAGCACCGAGCTACAGCTGATTCACGCTTCTGCTAAATTAGCAAGCGGCATGTTTTCTAGCAAAGCTCGAGCAGGTTTGCTGGGCAGGAGCCAAGGAGAGCTGCTACAGCTGACCTGCTTCTTGGCTGCTCTGCAGAAGTGCGGATCAGCTGTAGAGGTTTGCCCTGATCCTGGACAAGAGGGAAGGAAGGAAGGAAGGACAGAAGGGACAAGGGGAAAGAGGGAGGGAAGGAGGGACAAACAGGGAGGCGAAGGGAAGGAAGGAAGGAAGGAAGGAAGGAAGGAAGGAAGGAAGGAAGGAAGGAGGGGAGAGAGGGAGGGAAGGAGGAACAAAGAGGGAGGCGAAGGAAAGGAAGGAAGGGACAATGGGAGAGGGAGGGAAGGAGGAAGAGACCAAGAGGGAGGGAAGGAAAGGAAGTTCCAGCCAGCAGAGGCTTGGCAGCCCGGCTGCCGAGGAACAGAAGAGCACAAAGCCAAAGAGAAGAAGGTGGCGGTTTCCTCCCAAAGGAGGCTCCTTTTCTCCACCCCTTCCCTGGGTTTGTGGGGAATTTCTTGTCACCAATGCTGACATGTGCTCCTTCAAGCCCGCTGCAAGCTTTCTCGCCCCCTTTGCTTCTCCCCCCCGCTTTCGTGAGGATTGTGGCGCCCTTGGGAAACCACAAGAGAGGAGCTTAGGAGAAGAGGAGGTGTCCCTTCCTCCTTCCCTCCCTCTCTCCCTGTCAAGCCTCGGCGGTCTTGACATGAACGGGCGGAGGAGGAGTCGGGTGGGATGGCAAAGGAGATTGGCAGCCGTCGCCAGACCTCCCGGCTGACAAGCGCAAGTTCGGGGGTCGCCAGCTGACGGGCGCAGGAGTTGGGTGCTGCGGCGGCCTCCCCTTCGCTGACCTGCGTGCACGAGAAGAAGTCAATCCGGTTGCTGCACAATGAGTCTCTGGGGAGGGCAGGGCCTTGCTCTGCGCCTGCGCTCTTCATGCGCCCCCTGCAGGGCACATTTGGTAGAGTTCGTGCAGACTGCCGCCAAGCAGCATATTTTCCACAAACAAGTGAGATGGAGCGGAGGGGGGAGAGGGAGAGAAGGCAGTTGACAAGCCCTGCCTAAGACCATCGGAAATATGTGTTTTCCGATGGTCTTAGGTGACCCCTATGAAAGGCTCGTGCGACCCCCAAAAGGGTCGCGACCCACAGGTTGAGAACCACTGCTCTAAGTGGTCTCAACAACTCTCAGAAAGAGTACTAAGGACCAGATGACTGCAAGGAATATAAAGCCTTCCATTCTCCACTATTCAGTCCGAACTAAAAGAGCTTCTTGGATGAGAAGCAAAATATCTTAAAGAAAAAAAGAAGAAAAAGTCCAGTTGCCTTTTGAAAAAGCACCTTTGGGTTCTCCTTTGTGTGCAATACCATCATTACAGAATACTTGTTGATGAAAAAAAAATAATGCATTGGACTACTAATGCCTGATAATTTATTTCAAACTTTTAGACTCCTAGAAGAGAAAAGAAGCTGTTTTGCCGTTATTACAATGGGAATGGGAACCCAAATTACATCCTAGGACCTGTCAGACAAGAAGATGAATGGGATCGCCCTCGGATTGTTCGCTTTCTTGACATCATCTCTAATGAAGAAATAGAAAAAGTCAAAGAACTTTCAAAACCAAGGGTAAAGAATCTGAATTGTCCACATTCTTTGAACAAGGGTAACAGTGAATAATTTCCTCAAGCCAACATTTGCTTCTTGATTACAGCTTGCTTGGACCTTGCTAAATATCCTCTTGCAGTCCTTAATGGCATCTTCATTTTATTTCTGAAATAGCAGAGGAGCTTTTGTTTATCTGGTTAGGCCTAAGTAGACAAACAGTTCTGATCTAATGTTCTTTGAACCATTGTTGCTTCTCCAACAGTTATGTTGGATAAAATGTAGGCATGCCCTGTTTTGGAAGATTGTTGTGAAAGACAGTAATGAGAAGCATAAGAATTCTTTACTGCAGGTGAACTGGCAGTTGGTACCATTCATACTATTTTTGATTTTTGTTACACTTTCTCTTTGTCGAGACAAATTTTAATAGTAGAGTCAGATATAATTCTAATGACAGATAATTATGTCCTTGATTCTTCTTGTACAATATAATAGTGTAGAGTTTTATTTCTGTGGGACTAAAGCAAGTTACTAGAATGTTATATCTAATTGGTCCATACTGTAGTAAGGAATTTTTAAAAGAGATTCTGGTTTACTAAACGTTTAAGGAAGCTTGAATTTAAGGTTCTGAATTGGAAAGTTGAGATTAATTTTTTTGTTCTTATCACCTATATAAAATAGAAATTGTTTTATAACTGAATCATGCCACTACAAGTAGCCCTCAACTTACAACAGTTGTTTAGTGACCGTTGAAAGTTACAACAGTACTGATAAAGTAAAGGACCGTTTGTCACACTTTGGACCATTGCAGCATCCCCATGGTCATGTGATAAAAATTTGAACGCTTGGCAACTGATTCATATTTATGACGGTTGTACTGTCCCAGGGTCATGTGATCACCTTTTGTGACCTTCTGACAAGCAAAGTCAATGGGGAAGCCAGATTCATTTAACAACTGCAGTGATTCACTTAACAACTGTGGCAAGAAAAGTTGAAAAACGGGGCAAAATTCACTTAACAAATGTCTTGCTTAGTAGCAGAAATTTTGGACTCCGTTGTGCACATAAGTTGAGAGTTACCTGTAAACAGTTTTGTCCCTGTGCTGGCTTGGGCAATGCCACTCTGAGGGTTTGAAGTGCTTTAATCTGTATGATTTTCCCCAGTAATCTCTACTTTTATTTTAGGATCACCAGGAAGGTAAGTAATGTGTACAGTACTTGCCCTCTTAACACTTTCCCAGTTCAGAATGATAGTGTAGAACTTGCTGCTTCAAAAGAAGCCTCAATTGCTTTCTTCTAGTACACAACAAAAATGTAGCATTGCCTTGGCAAAAATTTCAGTATTGTGCTTAAAATTACTATTTTTGTCATTCTTACTTGTTTTGTATTCCATGTTTCTTGTTTGGTGGTGGTGGTTTTTGTTCCTTAATGGACAAGAACCCTACTGAAATTGGGGTTTTGTCCCTGGATTCTGAATGGTCAGATAAATGTGATGCAATATATATATTGTAATGCGATTATTCTGATTGGTTCGCTTCACAGCTGAGGCGAGCCACCATTTCAAACCCCATAACGGGAGTCTTGGAGACTGCACATTACAGAATTAGCAAAAGGTAAGACTTTACTTGCCATACCTTCGGTCCCTGTGACAAGACCTTCTGCAGTTCTCATTGATGTAGAAAATGGCCAGAAAGAAAGAAAAAATGGTTCAAAACTTTTCTAGTCGTTTGTGCTATTCACAGAGACTGTAACACTTTGTTACTGCTGAGTTTCTCAGACACTTCTTGTAGCCAGAGGTTTTGTCTTTATTTGCTTATTCAGAGTATAAATTGATGTCAGATAGATAGATAGATAGACCTTTATTGTTATTTTTTACTGTGGGCATAATGGCACACATTAAAAATGAAATTTAGTTGCTTACTCTCAAAGTGTTACACATACATAACACACATTTAAACATACTATATACCAGGGCTTTTCAATCTTTTTACCGATTGTACCACTTTTAGGATATGGCAGTATTCAAGTACCACCTAGCAAGGTGTCAAAAACTTGATGACCAAAAAAAAAAAAAACCTGTTCAAAGTTGCAATTGCACTGAAATGACTTATGATCATTTTTCACACTTATGACTATTGCAGCATGCCCAGGGCCATGTGATTTATATTTGGATGCTTGGCAACTGATTCATATTTATAATGGTCACAGTGTTCCAGGATCATGTGATCCCCTTCTGCAACTTTTTGACAAGCAAAGTCAATGGTAGAGCTGCTGGTGGCCAAGTGCTAAGGCAGGACTTCCTTTCCTCCCTCCCTTCCCTGCCTCCCTTTTTCTCATTCCCATCTCCTTCTGAAGGAAGAATTTGAACCCCACTCCCATATTTTCCCTCTTCCATATATTGATCAAACAAGGAAAGGCCTCCAGAGACAGAAAGGCAGGCTGCTGAGTGAACTAGCTTAAAAAGGCACATTCCCCTTTAAGAATTAGCTACTGGCTAGAAAGGAAAGTAAGGAGCACAGCTGGCACTTAAGGAAGAAAAAAAATGTAAGTACTGGCTGCCGGCTAAGGCAGCCTCCCCAAATGGGAATGCTACAGGCAAAATCCATTCAGGAGAAAAATATTTCAAAATCCCTTGCAGCAAAACCTACAGCTAACAACAGCAGAGCAATAGAAACTAACAGGAGACATCAGCCATCAGCCAAATAGAAATTGCCAAACACTCCTTAAGAACACAAAGCCCTCATTGTACAAATCCCAGAACTTCAAAGTCTCAAAAGCACATAAGAATCCTTCCACTCTCCATCTCCTTCCCTCCTCCATGCCTCACCTCCAGCCATTGCTGCCTTTTTCCATTCCTTTTGGAGGGTGACCCCTCCCCTGCTTCATTTCTTGCCTGTTTGCTGCTGCCAGCACAGGTGGTGCCACAGCAATTGTAGATCGGCTCATGGCCAGCCTGCTTGATCTCCTCTCCCCCTACCATCCCCTCCCCCTCCTTCTTCCCTTTCGGTGCAGCTGACTCTGCCTTCTCCCAAGGCTGCTGCTTTTTCTCTCTCTCCCTCTCCTGCCCAAACTGCATCCTTTTATAGGCTCTCCTGTCTCCGCCTCCCTCCTCCTTTCTCATGGGGGAGGGTGAGCCAGAAGTGAGCCTGGGGCCTTTGCAGCTCCAGAGGACTCTCTCACTGCAAGTCCTTGCCTGTGCTGGCTCTTTCCCTCCCCCATTCTACTTGGCTAGGCAGGGCTGCATACCACCTGCCACTCATTAATGTACCACAAGTGGTACGTGTACCACCGGTTGAAAAGCCCTGCTATATACAATATATGTTTAGACCTACACCCTAACATATTAGTAATATATAAATATTAATCACTATCTATCTTGAATATATAATGGGAGGAGGAAACTTTAGAGTTCACAAGGTTAATACTGTATGGAACAAAACTGACTGAATCTGGATGTTCTGCTTTGGATGCTTAAGTGTACTGAGAGTTATTTGCTTCCTGTATACAAAAACCAATGAGATGCTTGTCTTAACAAGGCTACAAATTGATTATATTGAAATATGCACTGCTTCTATATATATCTAGTGTAACACCAACAGCCCTATGGTTAAATTCTGCTTGATTTTATTGGAACCATATGTGCTGTTGAGTTTAGTATAGTTTTACGTATGTTTCAGTCTCAAATTACCCTATTTGCTTTCACGAATTCCTCTTAATACCACTGCTATTTATTAATTGTTCCGTATCTGGTTATTGAAAATGGGGAGTCCCCATACACAATTTAAATAATTTAAAATTTTTAAAATAACTGTATTTCACTCCTGTGTGGAATTGGAATTGAGAATTTCCAATTTCTCTGGCTAAAATCCAGTTCTTATAGTGGTTCCTATCAAACGTTTTTGTAGACGAGAAATGAAATGTGTTTTGTTCAGAAACTTTGTTGATGTTAATTTATTCCATTCATTTATTTCACATTAATGCATATCCCGCTTTTTTTTAATCTCACTTTTTTCTTAGTGGCGATAGAACATTTACAAACATTTATAGTGTATCTTATAAATACAGCAGTCTCTCAATTATTGGAACACCCTAACTTTGATAAAGTTTTAAGTATGTAACCTATTAACACATATTTTTTCAAAGAAAGAATAACTGGAAGCAGTAGAGAGGAGGAAGAGTCTTTAACTTCTGGGTTCCTGGGAAGTTCTCTGTGAAACTTGGCAGATACAAGTGGCTTGCATAAGCTTTCCATTTGGGGAAGAAAAAGTGAAAGGACAATCTAACCAAATTTGATTAAAATAATTGAATTAAATTGACTACAGCAGATACTGCAATCCTTTAAGCGTTCCTGCTGATCTGAGCATTACATTCCATCTTGACCAATCAGAACCCTACCAATTGCCTGTGGCTTGGCCCAGACGCTTGCTTCTAGAGTAAGCCCGTGTCCTTTCTCTTTTTTATTTTTTGTAGCTGAGCCGAGCTACTGTGCATGATCCTCAGACTGGGAAACTGACCACAGCACATTACAGAGTCTCTAAGAGGTAAGAGGAGATGGGTACGTGTGAACTACAATGGGATTTGTCAATTGGTGGTTGGTGTCAAAAGTTGAGACTGGGATCCTTTGTCTGAATAGTAGACACAGTCTTAAAACAGATTGCTAACACTTATGGCATTGAAAGTTTGGAGTGTTTTAGATATAAGTGTTAACCCAAATTATGTTGTCAAAGCATGTCCCTCACATTCTTTCATTGAAATTAGTGATGCTTTAATGATATTTAAACCATTTTGGTGCATTCAATGTATTACTTCTTTGCACAATCCTAATGAAACTAGCACATTGAGTTATTTCATCTTAAATACAATCTGTGTGAATTTCCTAACCTGAAGAGGCTACATTCTACCATCTGTTTGCTTTTTAGAATGGCTCTCTATATCTATCTTAATTTTAAGACGACTTAAGAAGCATATGACAAACAGGAAGCCATATATGATAATGATAGCTTGAAATTCCTAGTTCAGCATCTGTTTTTAAATAGAGAGCGCACAAAATATACCTGATCCTCAGCTAGCTTTTTGAAGAATACAGTCGCAGAATATTTGCAAGAAAGTATTTTAATAAGCCACTGAATGTGGAACATGATTTTTTTTACTGCTTCATGGGTTTTGTATTGTTGTTTCAATGTGATCTTTTTTTGTCATTTTGTGAAATACTACATACATTGAGAAAACTTACATGTATATGTTCAAAGCTAAAATTTTCCAAAACAGAAGCTGTATTGGTAAAACTAACACGGATGTCAGAATAATTCCTTGATTTTTTTTTTAAAAAAGCATCCACTAGGACAGTGGTGTCCAACCTTTCCAGCTTGGTGGCCCAGCCTGGGGTGGAGGAAGGGTGTGTGAATGGCAATGGAGCTTCACCCGCAAACAGAGTGCTTGTGCCCACACACAAAGCTCCACTTGCATTTTTGCACGAAGCTCCACTTGCGCGACGAGAGGGCGCTTGAGCGGAGGGTGCTTGTGCTCGCTCGCAAAGCTCCATTCGCACAAATGGATGGCGCTTCGCAAGAGCCCTCCGATCATGCAAGTGGAGCTTCACACGTGTATGCTTGTCCACAGCCCCATTTCGAACAGGCCACGGCCCGGTACTAGAAACCAAAATAACTCCCCCTTGTATTTTTGAAGAGAAGCCCATTTTCTTTGCCCAGGCATTCCAGTAACTTTTTCCTAGTTAACACTTTTCATATTACAGTATGCCCTTGCAATGACAGGATTACTGTTCCTTCTGAAGTATGCGGCAGGTAGTTTGTATAAACTGGCCCAGGATTCTGAGCCAAGTCAAGTGCTGTACTAAAATAACTTGGTCAATCTAGCCCAACCCTCTGCAAGATACTATTAAGAGTACATCCTTCTAAGAAATCCAGTTTTATCTCTGTTGAAATTCCTACTTCTCTTTAAGTAAAACTTTTTTTTTCATCACAGGAGAGAATACTGTTTAAATCAGTGGTTCTCAACCTGTGGGTTGGGACCCCATTTGGGGTCAAACGACCATTTCATGGGGGTCGCCAAACAAGGCTGTCTGCCATTTTTCCCCCTTTTCTTTGGCCACGCCCCTAGCACCCGCTGATGTATAAGTGGTTGGGGGTCACCACAACATGGGGAACTGTATTATGGGGTCACAGCATTAGAAAGGTTGAGAACCACTGGTTTAAATAATACTACTGAAGTATTTTATAAAATCCTTTCTTACAAATAGAGATTTAGAAGCTCTGAACAGAATTGTGGAATGTTGAAAAGAGTAAAAATTAACACTGATTATTGCAGTGACTGAGAAAGGTATACATGCCTGATGAATGTTAGTTTATTTGAAATTGGAAAAGCTTCTATAATGCTTGAATTGATTAATTAATTAATTAATTTAATTTAATGGCCACCCATCTTACCACAGGTAACTCTGGGCAGCTTACAGTCATAAAATTCTATATACATTAAAACATAGATTAAAATCAATTACTAAAATCTAAAATCTAATTATACTGGGGGGGCAGGGGCAGAATTGGAGGAGGTGGGATCTATTGTTACTTGATCAACCACCTCCACTGTTATAACTACCTTGTTTTTTGAATTAAAAAGTTTTCAGATGTATTGTAATATTCATATTCATAACACCACAATAGTATTTAGCTAACATTACTTTTTGAAGAGATACAAACAATACAAATAATTTTACCTTTGAATACTTTGAACTGAAATGAAATGTGTTGAGAATTCAAATTTCCTGAAAAAGAAACAGATATAAAATAAAAGTCCAAATAAGAGAGGCGTTTAAGACTGAATGTAAGATTCAGTACTGGAAAATATAGAGTACATTTTACAATAATAGAAAGATGGGAAGGAAGGTGATGTATACTACCACAGAAAAGCAATGCAATAAATTTACATATTAACTAATTCTTTGCTTTCTTTTTGGCCAAAGGATATTTAAGGTGATCTGCAACAGAACCTTGTAATTTCAGGTGCAATGTAGGTCAAAGCAGTACTGAGTAACTGGAGCCAACAATCTAGTAATAGGGAGGTTTCCTGTTTAACAGCTTAATCAGGAATGTGTTGAAGCACATCCAGATATTCACTGACTGAAGCAGGATTGAAATCAAAACTGCTTCCAAATGTACACAAGGAGCATGTGAAGGTTCATATGGGATAAATCACCTTGTGGTGGGGTGGCAAACAAATTTAATAAACAAACAAATAAAAATGGCACTTTAAGATATGATCCAGTTATTTAGCACTTTGTGACTATAAAAACAGAACTGTAAAGTGAGTCTAAAACAATGTTTATCAATCTTGGCAGCTTTAAAATGAGTGGACTTCAACTCCCAGAATTCACCAGCCAGCAAGGCTCACTGGGGAATTCTGGGAATTGAAGTCCACTCATCTTAAAGCTGCCAAGAATGGAAAATATTGGTCTAAAAGCTGGTTAGTAGCCAAAGAAATTTCAGAATGATTTAGAAAGCTTTGACTTATTTGACTCTGCTTGACTTATTGCTGCGTTCCGTTGTGTCAGGGCCATACATTGAATTACACTCTTGTACAGATATACTGGGAGCAAATCCTATCTAAATCAATCAGATTGACTTCTGAGAATAAACTGTAGATGGACAAATTGTAGGTTGCTGATGCCGAACAGTACAGAATTACTCTTTTGATAAGCTATCTTATTTTGTTCTCTGTAAGAAGAAGTGTGAGAAAACATTGATTTTGTTTTAGTTTAGTTGCCAGGAGATACTGAACTGTCACCATGAAATATCAACCAGGAATCCCAGCTATAGAGCACATAGTTCATTGGTTAAATATGGAACCTACTACATATTAATTACTTTTAACACTTTCGTTGCTATAAACTTAATTTCCCTCTCTAGGAGATAACTCTTCCTGATAATGCTTGATGTAATTTCAGTTTGTTTTGAGGCAGGAAATCCTTTTTTTTGTCTGCTTTGTTTCATATACTAACTATATTACAACACTAACAGTATGTCAGCAATATACTAACAAGTGCATTAACCTAGGTTTTTTTTTAAATCATTCTATATCTGGCAAATGTTCAGCTGTATTTCCTCCATACTCTTGAAGATTCTGTAATTTCTGTTGGTTCATGATCTGCTGCTCTTGATTAGCGATTTGTTGTGTTCCTATAGAAAGGAAGATTAGCAAATCTGCTGGAGTAAATACATAACTCCATTCTTCCAATCCAGTAGAATGTGCTGAATTTCTCCAATGCTTCAATAGTCATTGATGGTTTGTGAAAGTAATCCTGGGTTCTCTTGCAACTTTGGATCATTCACTCTTTTTTGAAATGTGCACCCCAGAATATAGGTAGTCCTCGACTTACAACAGTTCATTTAGTTTGAAGTTACAACAGCACTGAAAAATGTGACTTATGACCATTTTTCACACATGTCCATTGCAGAATCCCCATGGTCACATAATTTACAGTTGAATTCTTTTTTTTAAACAAGTTTTATTAAATTTTTCAGTTTTTACATCCAAGTAATTAGGAAGCAGCATGGTGATAGGGTAATCAATAATCCAATAACAAAATCATTCATATATCTGTCAGGTTATGTTGTTAAAATTCCCTCTCTATTTCCCTTAATTATTGTATCATATTCAAATTAATACATTTCTAGATAAAGCTCAATCAGTCAATACATTTATCAATAACATTTTACTTATACATATCCAAATCCTGTTTTAAAATTTTACTTAATTTCAGTTACCATATTCCAATTTAACCTTTAATAACCATAATATTTAAACTTCAGGTAAGCCTAATTTCCCTCGTTTCATTACAAGGTAATTATCGTATCCTGTAATTATTCTTACTTTATTTCACAAATATATTCTATTTTTCATCCTGATAGTTCCTCTTTACTAGTAAAATATCTTTCATTGTCACAAATCCATTTCCATATTACCATTCCAAACTATAATCTAACAATTAATTTTCATTTCCATTGTAAATCTAAATCCTAAATATTACATCAATCAATGTCTCTAAAACTCTCCTTTACCCATTAAGTAAAATTTTAAGTCCCGTTTTTAAATCTAACTCAGGCTTTCTTTTTGTGCCAAGCAGGCTTCCATGCTTGGGCCTTTAAGTCCTCAGATGCATCTCCCTTCATTCCTACACATGTTGTTTGAATCAAGGGAGAACATCCAGTTGTCAATTTTTCAAAGGAACTGGCCCCTTTGTAGTTATTAGGTTGTTGCCATGTTTGGTTTGGGATGTTAATCATCAGTTCAGTCTGGTCTTCTTCTTGTTCCAATTCCATCTGACTAGAATAAAGGGTCATGTCTGGTATTGTTACTGTTAGTTTGTCTGAGTTGTCTAGGTTCTCAATATATTGTGTTTGTTGATCAGTTCCTGCTGCTGTTGAAGTTACAGGTATTTTAGTTAAAGTCAGTGTTTGATTCTCAAAGTTCTCAATAGATTGTAGATATTGTTGTGCACCATCCTCTTTGATGTTAAGTTGTTCCTCTTCTATTGTTTTTTGGTTTATAAATTGATCATTGGAGTCTGGGGTTCAATTTGTAGTTTCTGGGTAGCATCTTTGGCTTTCACTCTGGCATTCATTAGCTCAGTGGCTTCAAGATTTTTTTCAAGTATGAGTTTATAATTAAGTTGTGGGTAAAGTTCCTCCATTTCCATAGTGATTAGAGATAGTCTTTTAGTGGAGGCTATGTTTACTAAAAATCAGCCAATGTTCACCTAAAAGTTATTTTCACCACGCAACTGTTTCCACTTCTTATCTTTTCCTTAGATAATGTGAAGAACAAATCAAGAGAGTCAGCAGGCCTCACAGTCAAAGAAATTCAATTGCTATACTAGGCCTAGCCACAAGATGTCCCCAGTAGACCATGAAATCTTTTTTCCAGATGTCAGTTAAGCTTTTATCCAGTTAAAAAGCAAAAAAAGAGATATTTTTCACACTTAGTAGATAGATAAAATGCTGAGTCTCTATAATAGGAATTTTTTGGGACCCCCCAAAAATAAAAATCCAGTTATTTAATTATTAAGATTAGATATTCTTTTTGTTGTTGTTGTTGTTCCAAAGGTTAGATTCCCAAGGTATGCAAACGCCGCTGTATTAAGAGCGGGGAAGAAGTTTCAGGAGGCTTTCACAGGAAAGTAGTTAAGGTAAAAGAAAGGCAGAAAAGGGTCTCCCATGCTTTTCCATGGTGCTTCGTTGTGCTTAATAGTACTTCTGGCTTTCGGCTGGTACAGCTAGGTGATCGTCCATGTTAATGGCCGATCTTTTCTTCGTCGATTCAAAGGAGCTGCCTCGGATCAAAAGGAAGGGCTACTGCCCTTCCACGATCAAACGAGGGTCCTCCTCAACGGTAGTTATCCCTCCAAGGCAACTTTCGACCCTTTCCAGGGTCTCTCGACGAAGGGAAACCGGACGGCGGAGAGAGGGCTCTCCCCGCGCGTCCACTAGCCTTCATTTGAATTCTTGACAACTGACTCACATTTATGATACAGTGTCCCAGAGTCATGTGAGTGCCTTTTGCGACCTTCTGACAAGCAAAGGCAATGGGGAAGCCAGATTCACTTAACAACCATGTCACTAACAACTGCAGTGATTCACTTAACAACAGGGGCAAGAAAGGTCATAAAACAGGGTAAAAATCACTTAACAAGTGTCTCATTTAACAATAGAAATTATGGGCTCAGTTGTGGTTGTAAGTTGAGAACTACCTTTATGATGCACCAAAGAAGAGGGGGGAAAAAGATTGCTTCATAGCATTCTGACAATTGTGAGAAGAATTGTATAAGTAATGTTTTGTTTCCTCTTTCCATTATAGTTAATGATGAAAAAATTATGTTGCTCTAAAGCAATGGTCCAGCATTTTTTCTGATGCATACAATCTATGTGAGCCTGGGTTCACTCATTTACTCCACTCATGTTATACCAGAAATCCTATGTAGAAAATAATACGTTGCTCACAGAATATACTATTTGAAGTTTCACTCAGCAGATTTTTTTTAAATTAATCCTGGATGTACTCTAGCTAAACAAGTCGGAATTACATTTCATGCGAAATAGTGTGTAGATTTAAAAATATTTCTTGTAAATTACATTGAGGTTAGGTTTTATAGACTACTTTGCACAATTAAAATTAGTTTCTGATTGGTCATAAAAATTAATACTGAGATCTTGTTCATGAATAATACTCTTAATTTCATTTTTAGTGCCTGGCTATCTGGATATGAAAACCCTGTAGTGGCACGTATAAATCAGAGGATACAGGATCTAACAGGGTTGGATGTTTCCACAGCAGAGGAGCTCCAGGTGAGTTTATAAAAAAAGAAAAATATGTGACAGAACAGGCATTCATTCATTCATTCAGAAATTTATTTGCCACTCATGTCTCAAATGACTCTGGGTGGCTTATAGCATCATAACATTAAAAACATTAAAATTATCAGATGTAAAATAAACAAAATAGATAAATTTTCACTGTACGTTGAATGAAATTGAAAGCATATAGAACAAAAGCTTCCCTATTAAGGGTTCTAGTACTTTTAACTTTGCATCTGCAAGGGCCGCTGAATTAATATGTTCAAATTGTTGCATTAAATGTTATTTGCAGGTCTGCAGTGCTGCTGAATAGTTCCTGCTTTAGTTTTTGCAATTGCCTATACAGGTCGTCCTCGACTTACAACCATTCGTTTAGTGACTATTTGAAGTTACAACAGCATTGAAAAAAGGGACTTATGACCACTTTTCACACTTATGACCATTGCAGAATCCCCATAGTCACATGATCAAAATTCAGATTCTTGCAACTAACTCAAAATGGTTGTGGATCTATGACAATTCACCATGGCCAACTCACCATGGCCAGCTCGCCATGGCGAGTGACAATTCGCTGTGGGACAAGAATTACACTAATATCAAAGAAATGGTGGAATAGAATCATTAAGGAAAGGATGCAAAAGGAGGGACAGAATGAAATGTGAATGACTAAATATTTTTTATTTATTTTGAATAATTGAATTGAATTGTTAAATTGTCCAGCGGCGCGTTGTCTTGCGGCAAGTTAGCCCGCAGCAAATTGGCCATAGCGAGTTGGCCATGACAAGGTGGCCGCAGCGAGTGGGCTGTGGTGAGTTGTCCCATTCTGATGATTACAGTGTCCCAGGGTTATGTGATCTTATCTTTTGTGACCTTCTGACAAGCAATGTCAGTGGGGAAGCCGGATTCACTTAACCACCATATCACTAACAAATGCAGTGATTCACTTAACTATGGAAGAAAAGTCATAAAATGGGCAAAACTCACCTACTGTGTTTCCCCAAAGGCAAGGCCTATACCAACAGTAGGCCCTACCTTGATTTTGGGGGGTGGGCCTAATATAAGCTCTACCTCAAAAATAAGCCCTAGTTTTGTGGCGAGGCACACACCTAAAAATCAAGCTAGGGCAGGGATGGGGGTGAGGAGCTGCCCCACCCACCCAGCATTCACTTACCTTGCAGCCAGGCCTTTCCTTGCCAGCCCATTTCTTTTTCTGAGGCCTCTTCTGCAGCCAGGCCTGCATTTCTCAGTCACAGGGCTTTCCGGAAGGCCTGTGCAGCCAAGAACTGAGCTACGGATTCAATCCGTAGCTCGGTTCTGCAAGACCTCAGCAGCCGAGCACCAAGCTATGAATTGAATCCATAGCTCGGTACTTGGCTGCTTAGGTCTTCTGGAAAGCCCTGACTGCAAAATGCAGGCCTGAATGCAGCTATAGAACCTCAGCCCCAGAAGAAGTAGACCTGCTGGGTGGGGCTGTCAGTGCTGGAGGTGAGGTAAGGCCTACCCTGAAAATAAGACCTGGTGCCTCGTTTGGAGGCAAAAAAACAACAACCTGGTCTTATTTTCTGCGAAACACGGTAACAACGGAAATTTTGGGCTCAGTTGTGGTCGTAAGTCAAAGATTACCTATACGTCCCTTTAGGGAGACTTGCTACTCTAAAGATTTAAGTTGTTCTATTGTCTTGTAGTCAGATTTCACCTTAGAAGTGAAGCAAGTGTCTGAGGTCACATCTTAAATCTTTCACTGAGTGTTTGTCCTTCTTTTACTATAGGTAGCCAATTATGGAGTAGGAGGCCAGTACGAGCCTCATTTTGATTTCGGAAGGGTAAGTCTTTCTTCGCCTTCGAGCTTCATATGTGCTGTGTTTCTTTTTTTCCAGGTAGCAAATTATGGAATGGGAGGACAGTATGAGCCCCACTATGACTTTGCTCGGGCAAGTAAAATGATGGGTGAAAGAAAAGTTTGCGGAGCTTAGGTTTTTGGGATGTTATTGGAAGTGTCTTATATCTGTATTACATTTGGGCTTTTGAGTGGTCTAATCCATCTGACTGGATAAAGCTTCCTAAATTGCCATTTGAACAGTAAAAAGATAGTCAGTTGCAATAAACTATTAAGAAAAGAGTTAAAAGCAGTGGTGGGATTCAGCCAGTTCGCACCACTTCGGCAGAACCGGTAGCTAATTTTTTACTGCCCAGGCCCAGAATGGACTTCCGGAAGCGGCATCCATACATATTTGAATCCTACCACTGGTTAAAAGTGTCACTTCATAGAAAGTGCTTTACAGAAAAAGATTGCTGACTCATTGGGAATAGTGATAAAGCAACTTTATATTATATCAGTGGCATATAGACAAAGCAATGGTCAGCTTTTGTTTTTAGCTATATTAATTTTACCAAATTTAGCTCATTAAATGTACTCCTGGTTTAAAGTGTTGCGCTGATTAAAAAAAAAAGATGATTTTGAAATTCAGTATATCAGCATTTTAATGCCTGTTTATATATTTTTTTCTTAATGAACTATCTTTTAATCCAAAAATGGGATAAATTTAGATGGTGATTTACGAAGCATTGGTGTAAAGTAACATTTTCAATTAACATTTTTCTTGAACCAACCTTTCAGGTAGTAATTTAAAAATTCTTGCCTTAACACAAGATCAAACTTCAATTCACTTTGTTGCTTAAAATCATCTGATGTGCTTCTCAAATCAACCGTATATTAACATGTCTTCATGCATAGCTTTAATTTCTGTCCTAATATTTTTGCAGTGCGCCTATGAACTTCTGAAGTGTGTTGTAAATTCTACTTTGCTACATAATGCCCAATGTATTTCAATTTAATATTTTATTTATTTAATGAAATCTTTATTTTAGCCACTAACGGGCCTTGTCAGGGCTACTTACAATAAAATAGTGATTTATAAGAAAGAAAACAATGAAATGTAAAATCAGTGTTAAACAGGCAGAAGATAAATGAAATACAGTAGTAGCAGAAACATCAGGGATTAAAAGATATCCCAGCTTCTACAACTTCTGAAAAAAATTAAGATTAAAAAAATAACTAATACAATGTCTAAGCTTGATTTGAAAAATATTAAGAGCGCAGGTGTCAAACAAACCTCCCTGGAATGAGTGGGTAATGCAGATAGTCCTTGACTTATGGCTACAGTTGAGCCCAAAATTTCTATTGCTAAACATGACAGTTGTTAAGTGAGTTTACCTCACTTTATGACCTTTCTTGCTACAATGAAGTGAATCACTGCAGCTGTTAAGTTAGTAATAGGGTTGCTAAATTAATCTAGCTTCCCCATTGGGGAAGGTCAGAAGGTCACAAAAGGTGATCACATGACCCCGGGACACTGCAACTGTCATAAACACATGTCAGTTGCCAAGCATCTGAATATTGATCATGTGACCATGGGGATTCTGTAACAGTTGTAGATGTAAAAAAATAGTCTTAAATCATTTTTTCAGTGCCATTGTAAATTTGAAGGGTCACTAAACGATTGCTTGTAAATCAAGGACTACCTGTAATAAGCCACCATTCAAATGTTTTTCTACCCCTGGAGGAGGGCTTTTAAAGAAGATCTTTCCTAGAAAAAGCAGGTCTTTTGTATGCATAGAAAACAGTTTCTTGCAGGTGAGGTTGTTCCTAGCCATTTAAAGTTAAAATCTTTAAGTTGGGCAAAGGGCAGGAAGCTATTGCAGTACTTAATCATATGGAGGAAACACTGCAATTTTTAAACTATTTTAAACATCTGCATATGAAAGTAATTAAGTTTACCAGCATGAAAAGGTTTATCTTGTAATTCTAGGATGAAAGACATTCTGTTTGCATTGGCACAGCTTGCTTAAGCTGACAAGTATAATTTAGCTGTTTGGTTGACTTGAGTTGTAGTTAGTGGACAGCATACAATCCTCTGTTGTCTGGATTTTTTAAAAATATTTTTAGATGTAGGAGAGTTTGTTTTGTAGGAAATGTAGCACCCTGGAAACTGTGTAAAGAAATTTGCATATGTCTGCCCTGTTTATTGATGATTGTTTCTTTATGGAACTTTTTGAATAACCCGTGTTCTTTAGAGAAGAATTTGTTCAGTAATGCCTGTGGTATTGGAATCATAAGTAGACTTTATATCACCAGTAATCTTTCAAGTTTGACTATACATTCAGTCAAATTTGGCAAATACAATAGAACTGGTTTTTAAAATGTCAACAAAAGATTAAAGACAATTGCATAATTAATTCTCCAAAACATATCAGGTTTTGTAAAATAGCAAAAAAGTAGGATACAACATCTGGTAGAAGATTGTCCATGATATGTTACAGGCATTCATAAAGTGGTGGCTCAAAATGGCTAGAATTTTAGGAGGTTGCCAAAAAAAGTGAACCATTTCAGTGACTTGATACAAAGACAGCAAGAATGCATAGGATGTTACTACATAGCTCATTTTTTGGAATGGGTTTCAAAAAAATTGCTGATCAATTTCATGAACATAGGCTCTCTTATCCATTCCAAAAAGAAGAGAGTTTTCAACAAGTAAGTGGTGCAGATTTCCTTTGTATATAATGTAAAAGAATAACAAATTTGTGCTTTGTGTCTTAAGTATTTTGTGGGCTAACTATGTAATCCAACTATTCAAAAGAGTTATTACCTGATTAAAACAATGTTAGCTTCAAGGAGAAAAAGTCCTGCTACAGTTTTTCTTGCCTTTCAGATCTTCCAAGAAGAATTATATTTAAAAAATGTTTCCTCGGTGTGCCATTGTTGTTTTATTCATAATACCATCTATGTCTTTGAACACAGAAAGATGAACCAGACGCCTTTAAAGAACTGGGTACAGGCAATAGAATTGCTACGTGGCTATTCTATGTAAGTAAGATAAGTTATTAGGATGTCCAGACTTAAAATGCAATGAAAGAATTTGTCTCAGTGAGAGAGAAAACATCAATTGCTGAAGAAGACAGAACTTTTTGTATTTTTCCTATTTATGTTATGGCACTGTAGAAGGACAAGTGTTTGGTATTAGACACAGCAGTTTGGGAGAAACATTCTGTATTGTACATCATGAGTTATGTTTTTATAGGTGAATGGAATGAACCAATTTTTCACAAAACAGTGTCCTTAGCTAGATATTCTTTATCATAAATATCCAGTAAGAACATAATAGGCGTGCTTGATCAAATCAGAGGTTGGCCCATCCAATGCTGTGTGTACCAGACTCTGCTGATGGACTTATCCTGAGTCAGAGGATTGGCACATTAAGTTTAAGATTGTCACCTCTAAATGATAGCACTTCTCTGAAGTCTGTCAAGCAGACAACCCAGTTTCCATAGTACTACAGTACTTCAGCTGTAACTTTTAATTGAAGATTTAGAACTTTCTACATGCAAAACATTTAGTTTACCTTTGTGCTGCCAATTAAGCCATTATTCCGTTATCATGGTGCCCAGCCAAATGCTTCTGAGAAATTCATCAAGGAGCCATGAGCAAAAAATTTCCTCTTCCTCCTGTATTTTTTTCCTTCAAGTAAATATTGAAAATCATAAAATTTGCTTGCTGTCCATCTCACTTTGAGGTGACTGGGCAGCTAACCACAACGGAAGCCAGTAAAACCAAGAAGAATAAATAGTTTTTTTCATAATAGTAAAGATTAAATTAAAAAGATGGGAAGGAAGGAAGGAAGCAAGATGCCCGGAGGAGGGAAGGTGGGGGTCTTCTCTTAATCCATCAGCCACTATCAGTATGATACACTCCCGTTGGGGCCCCAAGCCAATTGGCAGAGCCAGGCCTTCAAGTCCTTATGGAAGGTCAGAAGCATGAAAGTGGATCTCAGCTTGTGGGGGCAAGATGTTCCAAACGGCAGGTGCTGATATTGGAGGTATTCATAAGAAGGGGTCATACACACTTGTTTTAATCTGTTCTAAAGTCCCCATTGTTCAGCTTCATTGGAAGATCTCAGTTCTAAATTTGAGAAAATGGGAAAAAATGTCTCTTGATTGACTTTCTTTATAATTGTCATCTCGCCTTCTGTTCACCTATGCTCACTTTTTATTTTTTTTATTTATTACATTTATTGGCCACCCGTCTTACCACATTGTAACTTTGGACAAAGTTTTTCTTCGTTATGATATTTTTTCAGATAATTAAGTACCTTGTTTATTTTCTGCCTCTTTTCTAGGGCTAGAATATTTTTATGGCAATTACAAAAAGCAAAAAATATACCAAATCAGGTTATATTGTAAGCTTTATGAAGACATTGTAATGTTGGTGGTTTTATTTTCTCATTCTTGTCCTCCTGATTTTCCCAACATGAAACTTGCCTTTTTCAGAGTAAATATCTATAAGGCATCTTTTTTCTTTCAGTTTTCCACCACAATCCCAAAAGCTTTTCCCTTGTCCATAATCTAACAATATAGTTTCATCAGCATTCATGTGATCAGCATATATGTACCTCTGTGTTACTAAACTATATTTACTATTTTCCCAGATAAATAATTATTGGAGCCTTTTGCCTCTTTGAATATTGCTCTCTTTGAATTAGCATAAATAATTGGGTGGCATCAAAATTTTACCTTTTTATCAGTTTATTAATGGAATCTGTGGGATTACTTTTCAATTATGGTTCAAAGAGAGTTGGGAATGGATAGTCACTTTTTCTCCTTTTCAGATGAGTGATGTGGCGGCAGGAGGAGCAACTGTATTCCCTGAAGTCGGAGCCAGTGTTTGGCCAAAGAAGGTAAGTAAGGTGACCATCTCCGACCATTCTATCCATGTACCTCATAAAGGTTCTGGTATCTTTTTGTTTTTGCTGGCAGAAAGATAAGAGTTGGATTTTGAAAGTAACACTTTTAGAGGAAAGATAGGACAGGTCCAGGTCATCCATCCATTCAGATATGTGAACAACCAGTTCTCTGTGTGGATGCCGCTTCCGGAAGTTCATTTTGGTCCTGGGCAACAAAAAATTAGCTACTGGTTCTGCCGAACTGGTGCAAACTGTCTGAATCCCACCACTGCATCCATGCCATTTTGTTTTCTGACCATACATTGGCCCAAAGGATTCTTTATGTCTTCTTCTGATGCCATGTGAAGCTGTATCAACTCTTTTGGTTGCCAGATTAGGAAGCAGTTGCAACAGCTGCTTAATTCACCTTGAGAGTTGGCAGTCTGTAGAACCAGTCATGACCTATTTGTTTCAGTCTGGTGCTCACTGGAGGATCTGATGTAACTTTGTATGGTCACTAAGATACCAGCTGTAAGTCAAGGACTACCTGTACATAGGAACAGTTATGCCGCATGTCTTCTTTTCTTTCTTCTCTTGTAGGCCTTGAAGCAATAGTCCTGGACTTATGAAATAACGCTTTATTGTTATATCTAAGTTTGAACACAACATTTAAACACTGGCAACAAGCTTAGCTTCCCCATCAGAGGCAAACAGCAGTTTGTAGTCCTAGTTTGTTGCTCATTCCTGTTATGTTTTACAATAAATTAGAAGAGTAAATAATCTTAATAAGTCCAAGAATTTTTATATTAAATGATTTGGGGCTGCCCTCATTTTTAATGAAACTGAAATATTGCCAGCTGTTTAAACTTGGATGAAAGGAGTGTAGATAGGATGTGCAAAATGTTTTGTTTTGAACCATTTCCAAAGGTGAAATTCCATCGACCTCTTATTTTGAATTGTTTTGAGCATTTTGTAACTTGAGATGGATAATTTTGTGAAAATTCACCCTTGAAATCATTTGAAATGATTTCTCCCCTAATGACCATTTGTTCAGTGACCGTTTAAAGTTAGGGCAGTGCTGAAGGAATAGTAGTTACGTGTGGTTGCTGGAAGAATGCCCTTGCAGTCATATAATCAAAATTCAGATCGCTTGGCAGGCCATCCACATTCATATCTGCAGGGATGCTTCAATTCTCCCCACCCGCTTGTCTCCCCCTTATCTCTGCCCCCTTGACTGCCGTGCACTCCGCTGCCTCTCCTGGGCCTAAGCCCCATGCTCCACTTCCAAAGCCTCAAGAATAAGCTACACACTATTTGGGCAAGGTCGGAAATGTCCTTGGAAAGAAGACCTGGCACAGCCAGCAACTGCCAGGGCCAGGATAGGTGCGCCTCTTCGGCAGCGGGAGGAAGAAGACAGTGAAGATCACCTGGAGCGGTTATGGTGGTGCAGAGGCAGTGGAGTTTAGGGTGGCCAAAAGGACAGAGATGGAGGAGGGAGATAAACTGGGTTGGAGGAATTGAAATGTGGCAGACTCTTACCATATTGAGGCTCACAGCTGGGAGGGACCAAGCCAGGAATGGGATTCCTCATAGAGGAAAAATACAGTATTTGTAGCTCAGGGATGAAATGAGAGGTCCTTGGTCCTCTGACCTTGGTTGTTTTCTTGTAGATGTTTCATTACCAAACTAGATAACATCATCAGTGCTGGTTGGGAATGGGGTTTGCTCTCATTTTATATACCATTTCTGGTAGCTTGTCCTGGCAGGATGAGTGAAAGTGGTCTTGGTGGATTTTCAGCTAATTCTGGGTGGTTAACAACAGCAATAGGGAGTGTCAGGATTGCCATTGCTAAGCAACTCTGTCAGATGATGTTGTATCTCATCACTTAGTGATGGAAATTCCAGTCCCAATTATTGTTGTTATCTAAGGACTACCTGTATTTTGCCCACCCCCTGAAATGTAGCATTTGAGGAATACTAGAAACCAAGGCAGTGGGTGATGGAGAGTGCTTTGCCGCATCCTTTCAGGCATTTGGAGGATATTTACTTTCTATATGCCCTCTTTAGTATTGCATTTTTCAAAAGTTAACCCCCAAATAAGTTACTGTTACTTTATGTTTTACTAGGGGACAGCGGTATTTTGGTACAATCTTTTTCCAAGTGGTGAAGGAGACTACAGCACCCGGCACGCTGCATGTCCAGTATTAGTTGGTAACAAATGGGGTATGTATGAAATTTGAAAGATAAGATTTTAATAGTCCCCTTTTAAATTCTGTATGGAACATCCTTGAAATGTCCCAAGTAGAAGGACATATTAAACTTTTTGTGTGAAGAGTGTGGAATCAGAATGGAAACACACTTGCATGTTTTTGTTTTTATTTTACTTTCTCACATTGCGAACAGTGAAGAGAAGTTGTTTAATTCACACCTTGCGACACAGGTTATGTGGAAATGGATTGGGGGTGGAGAGTGACTTAATGATTTCTCAGATGCTAAGTGCCTCTTAGCCCTAGTACTGATCTATGTGATGTTCGGGAATCCCCCATCCAAAACCAGAACCTGTTTTTAACTTGAAAAATGGTTTGACACTTAGGTATTGTGAGGGAATGTGCATCTGGAATAGCAGTGACGAGAATTTCCCAGAGAAAGGTCTGGATTAAGAGACAGTGCAGTCCTAAGCTGGTGGAAGAAGGAGGAAGAGGTTCAGAATGGCCATAACCTAGAATCTCTTAGGATAGCAAAAAGATTCTGTCTATTAGTTGTAAGCAAATAGTTGTAAGCAAATAAAGGATTGGACTTGATTGGATCTTGCTGTGTTGTCTTTGGGCTCGAGCCTGACAGATATGGTTCAAGCATAGCATTCTAATTCTCCTCATCCCAATAATTACAGGTAGTCCTCAACTGCTCACCATTCATTTAGTGACTGCTTGAAATTACAGTGGCACTGAAAAAAAGTGACTTATGACTATTTTTCACACAACTGTTACAGGATCCCTATGGTCATAGTTAGCAACTGACTCATATTTATGATAGTTGCAGTGGTCCCAGGATCACATGACCACCTTTTGTGACCGTCTGATAAGCAAAGTCAATTGGAAAACCAGATTCACTTTAAACCATATTACTAAATTAACAAATACAGTGATTCGCTTAACAGCTGTGTCAAGAAAGGTCATGTGAGGCAAAACTCACATAATAACTGTCTTGCTTAACAATGGAAATTTTGGGCTCAGTTGTGGTCATAAGTCGAGGACTACCTATATGATACCGTTTATGTGGCACACAAAACCACGCACTCTCCAGTCCATGAAAAAACCTTTCTCCAGGGAATCGGTCCCTGGTGCCCAAAAGATTGTGGACCTTTGCTGTAGGGAAAAACTGGAGGAACAAATGTTATGTATACTGTCTTGACCTTTCTGAAGGGAAGACAGGATGAAAATTTGATGAGCTAACAAATACTTCCTTTTTTTCTCTTTTTTATAGTCTCCAATAAATGGATCCATGAGCGTGGGCAAGAGTTTCGAAGACGGTGTGCCTTATCAGAGTTTGAATGATACCAGTCCCCTTTTATTTTTTAGGGCAAATTATTTTTCCCTTCCTCATTGCCTTGATTAACACTGATAGTTTACACTAATATCCCACTCCAACTTTTGTTTCCAGTGCCAATCACTCTTTTTAATATATATATATATATATATATATATATATATATATATATATATATATGTATATATATATATATGTGTGTGTGTGTGTGTATGTATATGTGTATATATATATATATATATATATATATATATATATATATATTTGCAGATATACCCATTTAAATGTTTTTATTGAGTGATATGCTTCATTTCTAATGATTGTAAGATGCCACCAAGTTTGTGAAGGAAGCAGAATGGATATATAAGCTTTTCATCATCTGACAACTGCTTTGCTTGGATGGTAAGATATTATATATCACTTCTACTTGTTTCTTTAGTTTTGAATGCCTGAACACTTCTGTAAAAACCAGCCGTGCTTCTGGGCCTTCACTGCAAATTGTCTGTTTTTGCCTGGTTTTACCAAGTGCCAAAAAACTTCAGAAACAAATTCTTCCTCCCAGTATAGTTTTCTTCTTCTTCTTATGCCTCACAAATAAATTGAGTTAATTCCAAGAAATGAGCCAGTAACTGTCCATATATAAAAGGCTTGAACAGAACTGCAGTTGTGCTTTGTCTGCATATGCCGGAGGACCCCTTTTGAAGGAAAGTTGTAGAAAATTTTTGTGTGTGTGTCTAAGTGCGGCTCATCTTTTTAAATGTCATTGTGATTCAAGATTGTAATTTAAAATGTATTGCTGCTTTTTATTCTGTAAGGAATAACAATTTTACCCCGTGAAGGCATGGAGACAAGATCAGTTCTGACATAACATAGAGCACTGTGCCTTATCTACCAAATTTGAATTTGTATGAAACCATATGTATAAGAAAATGCATACTTCCCCTACCAACAATACCAAACCTTGTTTTCCAATGGAGGGGCTTTGTGAAAAAAAAAAAGACAATATATTTATAATACTAAATCTTTTGAAAGTTCTTTGTGGTCTGGAGAATGATTTATGTTGTGAGCCTCAGGTGCACTTTGTCTCTGATACAAACTTTTTAACCAAGTCTCTGTTCATAAAGGATGGCGTCTGAAATATTAAATACAGATAATTCTGAAAAAGCTTACAATAGCACTTAGATTTATATACCGTTTCATAGTGCCAGCAACCGGTCTGCACAAACAACCAAAGCACCATCCACAGGATGTAGGCAGCACACAAAACCACGCACCCTCTGGTCCGTGGAAAAACCTCTCCACGGAACTGGTCCCTGGTGCCCAAAAGGTTGGGGACCTCTGGTCTATGGGTAGTCCTCAACTTACAACCACAATTAGGACCAGAATTTCTTATTGCTCAGCAAGGTGATTGTTAAGTAAGTTACACCTGATTTTATGATTTGTGTAATAGTTGTTAAGCGAATCCTGCAATTATAAAGCAAATCTGGCGTTCCTAATTGATCTTGCTTTTTGGAAGCTGGCTGAGAAGATCCCAAATGGCAACCATGTGATCCTGGGACACTGAAACCATCATATAAATACATGCTGGTTTCTCCAGCACTGGAGATGGATAATCCACTAATGGGTTGAGACTGTATTCCTGCCCAATCAGAGCAGTCAGCCAAAATTGCCACGCCCGTCCTGGACCACGAGATCCCCAGTCTTGACTGATCTCGGTCATCATCCAGATGTGCAACTTTGGCTCTTAGGCAAGTACAGTTTCTCTCCATTGGTGGATTATTCCCAGTAGCTGAGAGTTGGTAGCAAGGATTAGATTCTGTTTAATTGGCCCCTATTAAATTTCTAAATTTTAAAATTTCAAGGGAGCCTAAAATTCACAACCCCACGGGGGAAATCTCCCTTGATAGAGAGGAAGGAATTCCCTTCCTCTCTATCTTACCTATCTTACCTCTACCTTACTCCTCTCCCCTTACCTAGCTCCCTTCACTTCCCTTACCGTTCAGTCGGATCAGCTGAGCAGCACGGACGGAGCTTGCGGCTGCAGCTCCACAGTAGAAGCAAGCTTGGGAGTTGTTTGTGAGAGGGGGGGAGCGCACGTGGGGAGAGAGAGCAACGTGCAGGGAAAGCTCAGGCCCTAGCGCGGAACAGCTGACAGAGGGAAAACGGGAAAATTTGCCTCCCGTCTTCACCGGAGAGCTACGACAGTTTAAACGGACCGCCATTGTTGGAGCTGCTCAGCGCACGCGCGTCTCTTTGTTCTAGTGCACGTGGCATCACACAGCAAGAAGGAGCTACTGCGCATGCATGGCGGCCATTTTCGCACATGCGCGACGGCCTCCTGGGTGCCTTTTGAAGCAGGCAACTACAGTGCATGCGTGACAGCCTGTTTGCGCACGCGTGGCCATAATAGTTCACATTGGCCACAAATTAGAGCCTTTTAAGCGGAGAGGGTTTCCCGTCAGCATCAGCTGTTTGGAGGGGGATTTCCCCGTCACTCAGAGAAAGGAGAAATCCGACCAGAGAAAGCTTAAGAAGAATAGGCAAGATAACAGAGAATTAAGGTAAATAGAAAAATAGCATCTTCTCTTCCAGGACTTGGTGTCCCTCCAACTACAATCAATTAAAACAAAAATAATTGCTAATAATTTAATTAGTTCAATTAATTAAAAAAAATCAAATATTATCTGGCTCCACCCGGACCTCAGGTAACCCCATCAGTGGACCTGTATGTATCTGGGTTATTATTGCTTGGATTCCAGGCACCCCCAATCGTGTGCCTGTCCTTATCTGCAGCAGACCGGGCCGGGTTCCAGGCATCCCCATTAGTGTGCCTGTCCTTATCCATGCACAGCCATCAATTTGGGCCTAGACACAGAGGCTGTACCTGGGTTCCAGGTGCCCCCTGTAGTGCGCCTGTCCTTACTCAGCGTGTATACTCTCCTATTACCGGGGTTCCCCTCTCGTGACCCTGCGCTATTGGAGAATGGAGGAAGCTCTCATGCCCTCTACAGGAGCCCTTCCTTCCACGTCAGTAGCACCTGGTTCAGAGAGCTCCGACAATACAACGGCCTCTAAGGCCAGATCTACAAAAAAGTTGTCCAGGAAGGCAGACAAACAAGCAAACAGGAGACACCAAGCCCTAGAAAAAGAATTTGCCAGGGCTCAAAAAAGGGCCAGAATAGAGAAGAATCAGAACGGGAACCTAGCCCCTGAGTTACCTCTGGGGGCCTCATCTTCCCCTCTGGGAGTCTGGTCAACAGGGGAATCATCCCAGTCCCCAGCAAAATGCGTGACGGAGTCCTCATCCCTATCCCAATCTTCGCCACGGAGGTCACAGGGAGCTCCAGAGGCCACATTCACACCCGCGACAGCGGGAACACAAATGAACTCGGTCCCTCTTATTCCATCGGAGGACTGGCTAGCGGCCTTAATAGCGCAAGCGGTAGACCGTGCCCTCGAGGCCAGAGCCCAGGGCATCAAGCCGGCAGCGGCCAGACACAGATCCGGCCATCAGAAGGAAACAGGACCAACAGGACCCCTCCTCCCCTTCTGGGTCATCCCTTTCTGATGACTCTTACCTTGACCAACCAGGCACATCGCAGGAGGTTCAAATGTCCAAGGACGAAGACAACCTGCCTGAGGTGCCTTCTTTCAACGGTCTCTTTAACCCTTCTGTTTTTGTCACCCTACTGCGTAAAGCCGAATCCACAGCTCATCTCGGGCAGGGAACTCCAGCAGAACCAGCCCTTCCCGACGCGGAGGCAGACCCCAGGTTTGCCGAAAAGATAACCACTCAACACCGCATTCCTTGTCCGGCCCTCTTCCTAAACGCGGTTCGGAAACAATGGACCTCACCAGCCTCCCTTCCTCTTCCGGGTAACACCGATAAGAGGCTATACAACGTAGCCAAGGAACTGGAGGAGGCGTTGGAGGTACCGATGGTAGACGAAACCGTAGGGCCCCTAGTATCGGACACTGCCATATTGGGAGACTTCAGAGGCCCTTAAAGCCGAGGACCGCAAATGCGAGTCCACCTACCGGAGAACGCACCAAGCAACAGCATGGGCTACTAGAGCCGCTACCTCTGCTTCTTTTTTCAGCAGAGCCACACTCTGCTGGCTACGTGAATTGCAAGGCCGAGTCTCTGTAGAGGACATCCGTACCCAACAGGAATTCAGCAAAATGGTAGCAGCCACGGAGTATGCATCAGACGCAACACTCCAAGCGGCCAGGTTCTCAGCCAGAGTAATAGCGTCCAACATTACGGGCAGACACCTGCTTTGGTTAAAACACTGGCAGGCCGATGCCAAATCCAAATGGAAACTGGCATCTGCCCCGTACCAGGGAGCCAAATTATTTGGCGAGGCACTAACGCCTTATTTAACGGAAAATAAGGACAAATGCAAGGTCCTTAAACACATTCTCAAGAGACAGGAGAGACGATCAGGTTACTTCGGAAGGAAACATTCCTTTCACACAGAAAACAGGTTCACCTACTCCCAGACAGCACAGCCCTTTCAGGCTAGACAGGATAGGCAGGAGAGACAAACGGAAAGGCAAAACCCAAGGCCTAGGCAGCAAGCGCAGGGAAGGCGGCCCTTTCGGGGGAACAACCGCCCTTTTCGTCACTCCAGATGACTCCACCTCAGCCCTTCCCATAGGGGGCAGGCTCGCCCAATTTGCCCACCAGTGGGAAGAAACCACCACGGACGTATGGGTCAGAAACACCATATGCCACGGGCTCTACCTGGAATTCCTCTCCAAACCACCAAACCGTTTCCTCCCCTGTCCTTGTCCCTGAAACCAAAAAAAGAAGAAACTCATGAACGAAGCCATTCAACATCTACTAAGTATCCGAGCCATAGAACCAGTACCACTGGACCAGAGAGGTCAGGGATTTTACTCCATAATGTTTGTGGTCCCCAAACCATCAGGAAGATGGAGAGCTATTCTAGATATCAAAGGCCTAAATTTCCATCTGGCATATCGCAAATTCAAGATGCAAACGTTGCGCTCCATACTAGGAAGCGTAAGAAAAGGGGACCTCCTGACGTCTATCGACCTCACGGAGGCGTACTTACATATCCCCATCTCTCTGACCCACTGCCGGTTCTTACGGTTCGCTTACGGGGGACGTCACTTCCAATACAGGGCTCTCCCATTCGGCCTATCATCAGCCCCCAGGGTGTTGACCAAGATACTGGCGGTCCTGGCAGCTCATCTAAGGACCATACCAGTCAGAGTTCAGTGCTACCTGGACGATATATTAATCCAGTCATCATCCGCCCGCTCCGCCCAGGCGGACCTCAAACTAGTAGTGAGATTGCTACAGGATCACAGCTTCTTGGTGAACTTCCTCAAGAGCCACCTGGTTCCGTCAATGAGAATATTACATCTCGGGGCCATCATAGACACAGTGGAGTGCAAGGTATACCTCTCCCAGGAACGCCGCAACAGCATAACGGAGGCAATAACACAGCTACGCCGACGTCAGTCGGTAACGCTGGTCAGCCTCTCCCAACTGTTAGGGAAAATGATCTCGACCATAGCAATCGTCCCATGGGCCAGACTGCATTCACGGGAGTTACAATTGTTCATGCTTCCGTTCCAGAGGCAGGAGCTCAGTGCATCCCAAAGGATAGGGTTATCACAACGGGTACGGTGTTCCCTCAGATGGTGGCTATCGCCAGCCCTATTCAGAGGCTCCCACTTCAGGGAGCCGGACAGAGTAGTACTCATGACCGACGCAAGCCTGTTCGGTTGGGGAGCTCACCTCGGGACTAGGTGGACGCAGGGCTGCTGGTCCACAGTGGACCTCCATCACAACATAAACTGGCTCAAATTTCGAGCCATCCATCTGGCACTATGACACTTCCACAGCATGCTAACACGGCGCCACGTACTAGTCCTAACAGACAACGTGACAGCCAAAGCCCACATAAATCGGCAAGGGGGAACGCACTCCCGCTCCCTATGGTCCAAAGCACTCCTACTGGAGACTTCGGCAGAACAAACCTGGCCTCAATAAAGGCTG